AGCGCCACGCCACACACCGCAATCGTATAATTTGCGTGTGTGGTCCCGGATTGAGAGATAGCCAGAGATAGCGCTGCGCTTGCCGGCCTGCGCCTCCAGACTGACTCCGAGAGTCGATGCGTCGTCGCTCTGTCTCTCTCGCACCCATTGGCGACGTCCCCAGAGTGCGAGAGAGGGGAACAGAGCGACGAAAATGACTCTCGGAATCAATCTGCCGTGGCTGCCCTGGCGGGCCTAAACTGCCTAAACGCGGCGTGTCGGCATTGTGAGGTTAGGGCCGCCCCGCCCGCCTCACCCCGCCCCGCCCCGCCCCGCCCGGCTTGATACACTCTGGCCCGCACTATCGAGTCGCCAACCGGCCGGGCCTCGCTGCCGTCCAAGTCCATCCGCATTGTGGGCCTGGTCTGTTAAAACCGTGTACTGCCCGTACGGCGTGTCTCGGTCGCCTTTCAGGCCGGACCCTGGGTTGCGCAAAAGTGCGTGAACGCGCAGCGTGCGAATCGTGTGTCTGTCTCTCTCGCTCGCGGTGTTCGGCCACGCCGCGAGAGCGAGATGGAGGGTTGCCGCGTCGCCACTGCAGCCGTGACGGATAAAAAGGCGAGGGTCCTTGGGCTAGCCTCGGCCGCCCCGCCCCGGACGATACTTAAAACGCCGTAAATCTGTCAAAAATTTGTTAGGACACAACAACGGCCCTTTTTTCGCACACGACGCACTGCGGTCCTCGAGAGCTGCCGGTGAATCGGACAGAAGGAGCCCCATTCACGAAAATGAGCGGAGGGCCTGGCCGGGCGTGGAGGGGCCCCGGATAAAGGGCGTGGGGCTAAAAGGGCAACAGCGGGGTGAAAATAATCGATAAAATTCGTCGCGCGGTGGACCAAACGACCAAACCGATAGACCACCGGCACCGTGTTGCCCGCGCGGCCTTTGTGCCCGCCTCTCTCTGCGACAAGATACAGCTTATTATATTATATTCGCGCACAAAACGGGATGGCTCTGAGGTGGGTGGCCAGCGTGGCCAGCGCCCTGGTATCCAGAGGGTACCGAAGAGCAAACTGAAGGCCGCAGGCTGGGACGGGGACGATCCCCTCTCCAGACTTACATTCCTACATATTTGCGGCCTCCAAACACTGTTGCCAATGGGGGAGGGGGGGATGAAAAAATCACAAGCTGTGCAGTGGTTGTTAAAAGTGGGTGCCCAAACTCTGTCACAACTTCTTCCCAAGAAAGCCGGGCAACGTGCGGATGGTAGGCGGTAAGACGGGCTGCAACATGCATTTGTTTCCCCGTAAGGCAAAACGCACTGCATTCCTCCTTTTACATCGAAAACCCGGCATCCTAGGAAGACCATCAAAATCAAAGCCAACGCTAAACAAATCGAGTTGCAGTGTCAGCAAGAGTTGACTCCTGCCACCACTTGAGTCAATCACAAGAAATGAAGAAACTACTCGTGATTCACCGAGTTAAGAAACCCGTGTGTGAGACCTGCACTGCGGAGTGAGGAGATATACCGACGACGCGCGCGTTCAAACCGATCAACAAAGAACAAAAAGTGCATCAGTCCGTCTGAATGAATGGAGCCTCGGCGGCGCGCTAATGGTCCTTGGCGACAGGCAGTCTGGGCAACCTGGCGGCCTGGCGGCCTGGCGGTCCCTGAATGCAGCAGCCAGGCCCCCGCGGCTCGCGTCCACGCCGTCGGCTGCAGGGTAGCGCAAGCGCCCTTCCCGGAGGCGGCAGGCCGCTTGCAGACCCCGGAACGAAAGAGTAAACAAAGCGCGATCGCAGGAAGTATGCACCAAACTCGGAACTCAACTTTTCACTCACGTTGCTTTACAGATTCTTGGTTGCTTTTCTCGCCAAAAAATTTGACCGGGGTGAACCGAATCTCTTTTTTTGCCGCGCGTGCGACGCGTGTAGAAAGTGGAAACGCCATGCGGAGGCCTGCGAGGTACACGCCGCCTCGCCAACTCTATTTTCCTCCGCGCGGCCGGCCGTGCGCTGCGGGCTGCGTCCGAACAGCACTCGGTCGCTCTGTCTCTCTCGCACCCCTTGGGGCGGGCTATAGGTGCGGGAGAGACAGAGCGACGAAAGCGCGGTTCGGAAGCAGCCCGGCGCGGACTCCGAATTTCCTCCCCGCCATGATGGCTGGGTGCGCGATGCCGCGATACCGAGGGCCGCGGCCGCGAGGCAGGGCCAGGCGGGGCATGAATGGTGGTCGAAGCTGTTACGCTTGCCTGATGCCGGCGGCACGGCAGGGCGGGGCAGGGCGAGGCAGGGCACGGCACGCCGGGCCTTGCCAACCAAACAACCCCACTCAACCCCCGGGCCGCGCGGGGCGGCGCGGGGCCGGGGAGGGAAGGCACGCTATCGCGGCGAGGGCCGCGTTTTGTAGCGTACATTGACGGAGAGGGTGCGAGTGAGGGCGTTCGGGGGCGCTGCGCCGGCCTGCGCGCTGCGCCGCGTGGGGGCGGGCCAAGGGCGCGCCGGGGGCGAGGGCGCCGCGCGGGGGCGGTGCGGGGGCGGTTTATGGGGAGGGGAGGAAGTGGGGCGGAGAGATTGATGCGCTGCGATGCCGCCGCCGCCGCGCTGCCCCCGGGGCCGCCACCGCTAGGGCCGCCACCGCGGCGAGAGCGTTCATCCGCCGCCCCCGCGCAGCACCGCGCCGCGCAGCGTCCCCGCAACCGCTCGGCGACCCTCGCCGCCCACGCCGCCCACGCCCTCCTCGACTCTCTGAAGTAATTAAAGCCGGATCGGCGCGGCCGTGCCACGCCGTGCAGCGCGGCGGCGCGACGCGGCCGTCGTGGAGGAATTTATTTATGGAGGGCCGAGGCGGCCGAGGCCGTGCCCATGAATTGAAGTTTCCCCTTCCCCTTGCAGCCAGTGTAGGGCCTGCCCGCGCCGCCGCGGCCGCCACCCTCGAGAGCCGCTGCTGCTGGAACGCCGCGTGTATGCACGTCGGGGAGCCTCCAAACCCCGCATTCCACCACCAAGCCTCTTCCTTTCCACAAATCGTTTCCACGATTTTTCAAAAATATTTGCTCGGCACAGGTTTGATTCTCAGTGTCAGTAAAACGAGCTGGATGGCGACTTTGTTCGGCGTACAGTGTGCTGCACTTGACAGTGTACAGCACGTGGAATGTCTCTGCCCGCTGGTCATCCCTCCCCGCTCGGCCCGGCCCGGCCCGGCCGGCCAAAAGCCAGGAGAAAGTATCCCATTCCCCCGTTGATTCGGTGGCGAGGCGGGCGAGGCGGGCGGGGCGGGTCGGAGCCCGGAGGGCGTTCTGGAGTGCGGAGGAGAGGGCGCGCGGCGGGGCGGGGCGGGGCGGGGCGGGGCGGGGCGGGGCGGGGCGGGGCGGTGGGAGGCAGTGAGGCGGCGACGCCGCGGCAACCCTCCCGGTTACGACACGCAGCGGCCGGCGCGGCGGTATATGGCGACGCGGATGGCTGGAGGGGTTGCGAGGGAAGTGAATGGTACGGCTGCAGGACAGGGGTGGCTTTGGTGGCGGGGCGTTGCGCGGCAGCAGGAAGAGGCTCTCGCCGGCGAGGTTTAGCGGCGCTTCCTTCGACGTCGCGCCCCTGCTGGTGAACCGAGCACTGCTCCCCGCGGGTACTGCAAGCAGTTCACCAAGACTGATGGAGAGAGCCGTTTTCATCGCTCTGTCTCTCTCGCACCGAAACGTGGGGCGCTTCGTCTAGTTGCTAGAGAGACAGTTTGTTTCCCTCGGAGTTCGGCGGATGTCTTCGGCGGCGTGCTTGGGACTCGCAGCGCACCGCAAATGTGGTGCGGGCTGTCGTCTCTGCCCGCCGGCAGTGCCCGGGGTGCGGCGCGCGGCGACAGGCCCACAAAGGGGAGCAACACACGCACACACACTGTAACTCGAGCAAGAATGGTAATCCCATCTAAAAGTCGGTCCGGCCGGGCGATGACACCCGCATTGCGAGGCAGCAGCGCTACACGCACACACACACAGACGCGCGCGCGCGTTCCAGTATTGGTTTCAATAGATGACCCCCGATCCTCTTCACACCTCGGTAGCGTTACGAAGAAAAGGCGCGTCAGGTAGCAGTGCGGGCTGCGTGCCTGCGTGCTGCAGGGCTGCAGGGCTGCGGGGTGGAGGAGAGGCCCACTTGGAGCGGCGCGGGGACACGGGGACCACTTGCTTGCATTGTTGAGCGTCCCCTGCTCGGCCTGCACCCCGCCACGCCTCGCCACGCCCCGCCACGCCCGCGAAGGCCCGCGCGCCCCGCCCCCCGGCCGCCGGCCCGCCTCCCTCGGAGTGCCTCGGAGGGAAGAGGCTCCTCCTCCCCTCCACAGCCTCCGTCCCCGCCGTCCCCGCCGTCCCCGCCCCGCCGCGCACCCCCTGGCCAGGACTCGCCTCCCAATGTTATAAGTGAGCCGCAGCCACCCCTCGGACCAGTAGCAGTAGCAAGCCGGTCAGAGACGGACGCCCGCGCACGTCGAGCAGAGCCCCCGAGTCCACGAGCTGGAGCGCGAGTTCCTGCAGTGCCCCGCAGTGCGAGTGAAGTGAAGTGAAAAGTGACAGTGCGAAACGGATGCCAAGATGACCCTGCTCGCCGTGCCCGCCGCGAAGGCCTCCACCAGCCCCGCGCCCAGCCCCATGGCGCTGCTGTCCAGCCGCACGGCCTCGGCGTCGTCCTCGCTGTTCCGGCCCTGGGCGGCGAGCGAGGCCGCCAGCGAGGCGGCCGGAGAGGCCACCGAGGCCCTGGTGCAGTGCTCTCCCCCCGTGGGCATCTGCGCCGGGCTGTCCACCCGAGCCAGCCGCCCCGCGAAGCCGCGGTCGGCCGTCGCCGAGGCCGAGGACGCCGACAACGCGGCCCCCGCGGCGCAGCCCATCCTGACCAGGCTGGAGGGGCTCGTCGCCACACTGGACGAGAGCAGCCAGAGCAGCCGCAGCAGCAGCGCCAGCAGCGCCGGCAGCTCCAAGGACAGCGTGTCCGGCAGCAGCAGCGGCGGCAGCTGCCCGCCGTCCCCCGCCAGGGACATGCGCACCCCCAAGAGCAAGGCCAGGGCCGACGCGGCCTCCAGGAAGGGCAGCGCCTTCTCGGCGCCCAAGGCCACGGCCCCCAAGACCATGCCGGCGTCCGCCCCCAGCGGCTTCCCCGGCGGCATGCTGTCCCCGGAAGAGGTGGCGCTGCTGGCCGCCCAGCAGCAGGCCTTCCACGAGGAGGCGCTGCTCGCCATGGCCGGCCTGCTGCCCCCGGGAGTCCCCGGCATGCCCCCCGGCGCCGCGCTGCCCCCGGGCGGCATCCCCGCCGCCTACCTGGACGAGTACGCCCGTCTGCTGCAGCAGGAGCAGAAGGCGCAGGGCGCGGCGGCGCGCAAGCAGCGCCCCAAGAAGTACCGGTGCCCGCACTGCCAGGTCGCCTTCAGCAACAACGGCCAGCTCAGGGGGCACGTCCGGATACACACAGGTGAGCTTCTTGACGAGTTGAGGCATCCCCAAGGCATCCCCACACTCTAAAAGTCTTGTGGTGAAGATTCCCCATATCATGGTGAAAACTCTCCGGTTGTGTAGCTGACCTCGTAACTTACCTCTGAAAATCCATTGTGCCTAAGTGACATTTTGTCGGACTTCCGTCGCATTACGGAGAAAATCTCCACTTTTTTATACCGGCGGGCGCAGCCTTTCACACCACAAGACATTTTGGGAGCGATTTTCACTCTTCAGAGTGCAGTTTACGAAAAACGATTCTAACGTGCCCGTTCGGTTGTTGCAGGCGAGCGTCCCTTCCAGTGCGACGAGGAGAGCTGCGGCAAGCGCTTCACGCGCAACGAGGAGCTGACGCGCCACAAGCGCATCCACTCCGGACTGCGGCCCTTCGCGTGCCAGGCGTGCGGCAAGCGCTTCGGGCGCAAGGACCACCTCAAGAAGCACACGCGCACGCACGACCCCGCGCACCGCATGGCCCAGCTCATCCCCATGCTGCCGCCCCCGCACTACCTCTACGGCTTCTGAACGCTTCTGTTTTTCTCCCGAGTCTGAATCATTTGAGGGGTGAATCACTAGTGTACTCATGTGTACAAATTTGCCCGTACTCAGTGTACTCACAAGTTTTAAAAAGGTGAAATTCTCTAGTTTTTCGACTGATTTAACGTCGACTGCCGTTAAAAACGCTAAATAAAGCCTTAAAACGTTTCAAATTGTGAAATTTATGAGTAAAGCAAGGTGTACTCACCCGTACTCATGTACTCATGTGTACACCAGAACGCCGAGTGATTCACCCCTCGGAATCATTTCCCAGTTGGAGGGTCGCTGCTTTCGGTCAAGTGGATAGCAGAGACACGTTTTGCGAGATTTTTATAAATTTTATATACATTATATTCCTAAACACGTTTTGTGTAGTCTGTGATCAAGTCTGATAATTATAGGGTTTTTTTTACTTGTGTAGGATAGTTTATTGTGAAAGGCGATTACAAAGTTTTGTAAGTTTTTTATGCTGGGAGGAGACTGACTTTTCGAAACTAAACCGACAGGAGCATGACCACATTTTTTCTAAACTTAAGAATATTGTAATCCCCTTTGGGAAAGTCTGCAAGTCTGTTTTAGACTTTCCGATCCCTTGTTTGTACTTCTCCGTGGGTCACGATGTACTGTTTGAGTCTTTACGTACGTACTGTATTTACGTTATCCGACCAAAGCCGAAGGAAAATGATACCATTTATTGTGTATATTTTAATATTGACTGTACATTTGGATTTATTTCTTGAGAAGAGATTTTTAAAAATTATATATTGAATATTTCCAAGCCAACTTTTCCTCGTTCATTTATCCCTACGATCTTCCAACGCGGACGAACGGAAAATTTTACCATACAGTGTATCCATCCCCAAGCCACAGAAACAAAACACCGACGTCATCGTCAACGACTCAATTTGCCTCGTGGTGAATGCGTAACGAGCCAACCCTTGCCGCCAACCCTTCAACTCCACCCGGCGGGCCTTTTACCTGGCCGCGGTTTCGATTAAATCTGCTCAGCAGCGGTGACAGTTTGTCTGCGGTGTGGCGAGTGTCATCCAAGATGGGGACGCGCGGCAATGACTCAATAACCGGATGCAAGAGCGGAGAGGGGACTGCCCCATGGGAACATCCACGTGGATGAGACGTGGACGCAACGTTAATTTTCACGTGGAATCGACGTGGATGGTCGATTCGACAATCGAGTAGAAACGTCCAAGTCAAACTACGTGGATGCAACGTGGATTCAGCAACTCGCCCTATCCACCCACCATCGATGTTACATCGAGGCGCGTACCGGTCATTCTGAGCTTGGTGAAGCATAATTCGATTGAGTCGATAATCGATGTGAAATCTATGTCTTAACCTTCCCTGCATTCATGTTAGAAAGTCCTCTAGAGGTTGATCACCGTGAGGACGTCCAAAAAATCACTACGATCGAGACATGTCCTATGAGGACCACGTCAAGTCCACCTAAGTTGTCCGATGAGCATTGTATTATGGCTCTGGGATATGGTGAATTGGCATCCTACTTGCAGGTCGAGAGGGAAAGGAAAGACAGGAATATCAGCAGGCCCTCTGTCGGTAGCTTTCAAAACTAATCTTGTTCCAAAGTCCTCGCATAATCTTCGTTGAACCCACGTGGAAGTCCGAATCCTCTGCGATGAATCCGGCTCAGACAGACGACCATGCTACAATGAATTTGGATACGTGTGATCGACATTGAGATCGTGTAGAAAAGTTAAGGCGCTCAATCCTCATACCATTGATATCGATAGGACCGCTCTGGATACTCGTCACAAGGTCACCGCATTTTCGACGTAGACACAACGTCCCTCAAATCCGTTGGACTATCCACGTAGAGTCAACGTTGATTTACAATGGACCACTATAGACGCCCAAATCGATGTTAAATCAACGTGAAAGTCACGTGGATTTAAGGTAGAAAAATGCTATCCACCTATTCCACCTATCTCACGTGGATTCTACGTGGATGATACGTGGTTGTTCCCATGGGGTGGAGATGGGATTTGACTTTCGCCACTTTCAATACTTCCGTGGAGAGTTTAGGCCAATTTGTATAGCTTATTCGGTATTCAGTAGCGCAGCTTTTCGTTCTATTTTTTATCTGATCGCTGAGCGAGTTGATCCATCACGGAAACCGCAGTGTTTTGACGGCCAGCTTCCTCCTTCCCCCGGACAGTCTCACTGCTCCTAGATTTACAAGATGGATTAGAGGGCGGGCAGGGCGGGCAGGGCGAGCAGGGCTTGAGCCGCCAGCCCCCTTTTCCTTTCACGGCCAGCAAAACGACGGCCGCGACAGCTTTTGATCGATTTCCCTTTGCACTTTTTTAATCACGCTAAAATGAGCTGACCTTTCCTGGCTGGGGAGCTCTCTGCCCGGCGAGTCCACGTCGTCCAGTGTGCGTAACACTATGTGTGAATGGCGGCCCCGACTTGTTCAGGAGGCGCCATCGATTTTCGGTCCTGTGATTGGACAGTGCTTGTCGTCGGTGGCGGGGTTGTGGCGGGACTCGAACCGAGGTCTGCCACCGAATGATTCCGAAGGATCAGTTCGTCGCTGTCTCCCTCGCACCCTCACGAAGCACCCTATGAGTGCGGCAGAGACGCGTGGTGAAGGTGGCGGTGATGATGATGATGAGGCTGCGGTTGGCGGTGATGCTGGTGGTGGTGACGACGATGACGAGTGACGAGTTGCGGCGCGAGTTTGCTACAACGCGGCGTCCACAGTGTAGCCCACACTGCAGTCCGATTCCAAGCGCTGCTCTCGTCGGACTGTCTCTCTCGCACTCATGGGGCGAGGGGCACAGCGACGACGGCAGTGCTTGGAATGGGTCTGCAGCGCGGTGCGCGGCGCGGCCGGAGGAGCGCCTTGCCTGGTAGGCCCCACGCCGCACGCCGCTGCGTTACGGGCCGGCCGGCCGCCATTACCATTACCATTAAGGGCTAGAGCCCGCGCTCTGTCTGTCTCCGTCGCACTCGTGGGGCATCCCGTCAGGGTGCGAGAGAGACAGAGCGACGACGAAGCGGTTCTTGTGCCCGTCCCGTCCCCCGCCCCGCCCCCGCCCCTTCCGCCCCCAGCTGCTGCCATGATGGACGCCGGCGGCCCATGGCGCGGCGTGGCGTGGCGGCGCAGCAAGGGGAGAGGGCGACGCCGCGTCCCCGGCGAGCGGCAAGCTGGTCGCCATTTTGGTCCGCCGCTCCCCTCGCCCTCCGCGCTGCCGTGCCGTGCCGTGCCGTGCCGTGCCGTGCCGTGCCCGGCGGCGGTCCGCTGGGGGTCGCGTGGGGTGAAGCGGGGTGGCTTGTTTATCTCTGGCTCCACCGCGCCGCCGCCCTCCCCGGCCTCGCCTGCTTCAGTCCGCCGCACCCCCCGCCGCCATTGCGCGGCCATGCAGGCCGTGCAGGCCATGCTTGCGGTGTTGTTCGAGTGCTCCACGCAGTGCTGGCAATGCCACGCACGCACGTGCACCGAATCCCAGTGCAGTCATCCCATGTCAGATCGCTGTCTCCTGCCTGTCTGGTACTGTCTGGCGGCGGGCGGACGTCACTGGCCGGTCGAGACGCGCGGCGACGGCGGGGCGACGACCAAACCGTGTCCCCGCAGAATGGGTGCAGCCACTCTCACTATCTGTTGCAGTGCGGTGGTGCGGTGACTCACTCCAATACTTATCAACACGCACGGACCCGAGAGGGAACACCGCGAGAGTGAAGCGAAGGGAATACATGCTGCCTCCGCCGCGCCCAGCGCGGTGTGGTTTTCCCGGTTTTTCGCCGAGCCGTGTTTCCGTGGACGGGAAGCATCCTGCAGGGGTGCTCATGTCAACCTCGCTCAGGGACAACGGAAGTCTGTTGAAAGTACGGCCATGGACCTGGAACCTTGAAAGTTGAACCTTAAAAGTTGAACCTTGAAAGTTGAACCTTGAAAGTTGAACCTTGAAAGTTGAACCTTGAAAGTTGAACCTTAAAAGTTGATCCTTGAAAATTGAACCTTGAAAGTTAAACATTGAATCTCGCTCGCACTCGCACTGACTTGCCCTGGCGGAGGGAAGAACGCGCTATGAGAAATCGTGGCGGGGACAGAATTATGGATCGCAGAAACGGAGTGGTAATTTATTGGAACGCCGTGTTCACGCACACACACAAACACACGCACACACGCGCGCGCGCGCACACACACACACACAGCGAGAAGTGAATCGGGTGGATCGCTTTCAGCTCTATATTGACGTCTGAGATGTACCCATCAAAAGGCAAAAGGCAAAAGGCCCCCACCCTGGCTAACCGTGGCCGGCCACAATGTGCCATTATGCGGATGCGGTCCCCTTCGGTCCCCGTCGGTCCCCCTCGTCGACTTGGGTGCACGCGGTCAGACTAGACGCGGTCAGACTCGGGACGATTCACGATTCGCTGGCGTTTCGCGTTTTCCGATAAAAGTAAACGGATAGCCGTACCTACTGCTCGAGGGGGCAACGACGCGGGTAATCTGGCTGACAGCGAATCCGTGATTCAGATTACCAGAAACCTTGAGGTAATCCGGCATGTCTAAGGGTAAATCCTGGAGCAAGTGTGAATTAATCAGGAGGTACACGGAGAAAAAGACTTTGCTGTGGCAACAAACACTTCGTTGGGACAACTAAGAGATTAGTTACTTTTTCCGAAACCAAGACGCTTAGCTGATCGAACTAATCATTCGCTTGTCTCAACAAACAGCATTGCTCTCTCTACGATTTCTATTAGTTGATGCAACAAAACTATGAATGTAGTCTTAACGTCATCAATTTTGTAATGATCATCATGAAACCTCGTTCTACGAATGCATAAACTTAGTTCCCGGCACTCACAAAAATTTGCTAGGGCGGCAAATTTTTTTTTGTCATCAGTGTCACAGTTTTGGGAGCCTGTACGAAACACCTGTTTACCCCAGCGCGTTACAACTGCTTCACGCCTCTTTTGTTGTAACGACGAAATTGTGAGGCTCT